TTCGATGCACAGCGTCAATGAGAACAGATTGTCTTCTAACCTCCAGTGTTTTCGAAACCCAATCTGCAGTTCCCCCAGCACCCCCTCATCCTCTATCCATGCCTGCAGTTTTTCCTTTATAATCTGTATCGCCAGCCTGTAGACCACTGATGTCACTGTTATAGGACGGTAGTTGTTTATGTCAGCTTTTTCCCCCTTTATAGATCATGTTCATCCTGCTAAGTTTCAATCCATCGGGGACTTCACCATCGAATATTATTTTGCTCACTGCCTCTCTCAAAGCCTGTTAGACTTCGAACCTATGTCTTTAATGTCAACCTTGTAAAACACCCACCAGATGGCGGGTGTTTTACAAGGTCGTTATAAATGGGACGAGCAGGTATCTGAACCTAGAGAGATATAACACAGGCTTCGACAGGGATGTATCTTGTCACCTTTGTTATTCATGCTGTATCTCCAGAGACTAGAAGCCAAATTAGAGGGGAGTCGACTCGGTTTCAGCAACTATTTCGCCAAGCAAGGAAAACATATTGAATAGTCATTATCAGTACTGATGTATACAGATGATATTAATAACCCGCAACAAGGAAGATTTGCAGGGATTGATAGACATCTGTGGTAATGAGTTAGATAGGTTAAATTTGAAGTTAAGCAGGAAAAAATTGGCAATAATCATTTTTATTTATAAAAAATGCAGTGAGAATAAGATACAAAAAGTCACGCTAATAATAGTGGATAAATACAAATACTTGTGTGTGTGGATAAATGACGGGGCTGAGTATATAAGGGAGCTCGAAAGAAACGTAATGACTAGGGAAAAGGAATGCAGCTGTAATGAAAAATGAGGCACTGTGGAACTACAATAGGTGTGACGTTGTGAGAGGGATTTGGAAAGGTGTCAAGGTCACGGGTTTGACGTTCGGCAATGTGGTCTTGTGCATAAAATCAGATCTTCAAGCAATATTGAAAATTAAACAACGGGGCATAGGTAGACTTGCTTTGGGAGCACACGGGAATACCCCAAATCAGGGGTACAGCGTGACATGGGGTGGATATCATTTGAGTGCAGGGAAGCTAGCAGCAAGATAGAATTTAAAGAGTGATTGAGAAAAATGGGAGAGGATCTATGGGCTAGGAAAGTTTTCAGCTACTTGCACATGAAGAATGTTGATACTAAATGGAGGAGGCGAACTCGAAAATTGTCTTGCAAGTTTTAGACAACGGAAGAATATCAAGCCAAAAGGAAACATTGGTTAAGATGAAGGCGAAGGAAACAGAGAGGCACATGGGGAAGATTGGAATGCTTACAAAATCATTACTGGAGACCTGCGGAGCATTTAAGCTGGAAATTGCAAGAGAAAAAGATCTGAGATAATTCTCGGGGTAGTTCTCTGCTCTTCGAGGCTAGAACGGGTGTATTGCGGGCCAAGAAGTACCGAGCAAAATACGAAGGCACAGACACGGTATGTAGTGCGTGTGAAGAAGAGGAGGAAACGGCTGAACATTTGGTAACGTTCTGTGAAGGGCTCTGCCCTATAGTCGAAGGAAATGGAGCCGAACTTTTCAAAGCATAGGGGTTTCGGGACAGTGAAGGCAAAATAGACTTTAAATGGGTAGAAATAACCAGGAGGAGGCTAACTGACTGGTGGCTACAATCGAGGTGCGAGAGAATTCAATCCTTAAATACATAGTGATAGTACTTGATTTTATGGCTAGGTGGCGTGAGCCAGCGCCCGATCAAAAGGGAACAGCCGGAACATCCATCCATTCATTCCTCCATCGCTCGTTAGTCAGCCCATCTTAGAGCCGCCTCTGGAGAACCACCGAAAGGCGACTTTGGCATCAGGGAAATAATTATACTGATATGTACTATCCGTCATGCGGGCTGTACACCCTCTTCTACCGAGGGCGTTAATGTACTATCGCAAAATGAAATAAATCCTACAAATAAATTGCTCTTTGTACATTCGTTTTGGACCAGTACAACGCAGCCACCTGGTTTAGAAAGGGTGAATTCAGAATCATCATTATCGATCCGTAGCGGACTGGTAAACACTCGTATTCGGAGCATAAGAACGTGGGTTCGAATACCAATACCGGAATAAAATACTGTTTGTTTTTAACGCGGCGATAGCATTAGGGAGCTTGTGTCGCTGGAATTCTGATATTTGTGTCTGTGCCTTTCGTTGAGAGCGAAAAATGATGTTCTCCGTGCTGGAAAAGCTCAAAAAGATACAATTGAAATAAGTAATAAAAGCTCACGTTGGAAGTGAGAGCTCCAACTCTGGCCGTCCGCGTGGTACGTAGGTGTTTTACCACAGAGCTGAGCCAATACTTGAAACTGCTTTGAAATAAGAAACACTATGTCAATTTGGCCGAAGAAGGCATCTTAGGACATGTAATATTGCACGACAGAATCATAGAATCGCTGCAGGCGTCAAAACATGTCAACTGTGCAACAAGTGCGTAGCTTTAAGCTGTCCACACATAAAAAGGTGTGCAGCCACGCAAGTGAATGCGGCGCTTACAGACGAGTAGTGCGTACTTCGCCAATCAGCAAAAGGATGAATTACGTTATAGTGGCCTCTTAGCAACTGCACATGCAATAGCCTTTACAGGATAGTGTGGAACGGCCAGTGTTGCTCGCACAGAAGTTGCTTCCCTTGTGGCATTGTTGAAGGCATTGTGCTCGGTGGCTGATCACGCTATCGCCTCCATTGCTTGCACGCGAAGCTGAAGAGTCCTTTAAGTGTTATTTATTTATTTACTCATTTATAGCTATTACCTTTCCCTGTCTCGGAAGACATTATCAATATGACTAGCCGTTCGAGGCGCTGACAGCAGTGCAGTATTTGGGCCACGGGGCCCGAAGGGTACGTTCATTCCTTATGTAAATATTTTAGGTAGTAGTAGTATTACGAGGAGTTCGTAGCCACCTATCGTTTAGTCTTCGGTATGTCCGCCATATAGTGGTAGTTGTATATGATGAATATATGATGAAAGGATGAGACATGGCGGTACTTGGAGTGTTAACTCCAAATGGACGGGTGGATGGCCGGATGGGCGGCCAGGCAGACATACAGACGAACAGATGAATGGACGCACGGGCAGGTGCACGGATGAACGGAAGCACGGACGTACTGATGGACACTTCGCCCCGCTCATCATCATTCACTCCGTGGATGTACTGTGATTTTTTTTCTCCAACGCTGCCACTATACAATCGCTCAGTGTCCACAGTGCTCAGCCGCTCGCTATAACAGTGCGGGCTCGACGCAGGTCTCAGCTGCCGCATTTCAGTGAAGGGGAAAGCCTATAAACCTGTTTGGTATGCAATATAAGTGAACTTTACGAAACTTTTCATGCTGGAAGTCATTGAGCCTTTCTTTTATGGTGTCTCTCATAGGCCGAGTCAATTTGGCGAAAGTTTATGATATGAAACAATCAATCAAGCCAAACAGCTCTAGGAGACAATGTTCACCATGTAGGGAAATTGGTGACAATTATCACATAAATATTTGAAAAACGAATAGACGGAAACGAAATGAATATATGGTTGCAGCAGCACGTTCGAGATATAAGTAGAACAACGTGTGTGCTACTACGAAAAAGAAAATTTAAGGATTTTTTTTTGTGTGGATGACGCTTGCAGTAAACTAAAATATTATGGGTCGTGTATGTCTTAGAAAAAACTTGTGATCTTTTCGCCACTATGACACATGAGAACGAGTTCTTGGTAGTCTAAGCAAATAATAATCTAAGAGGCAAATAAATATTTGGATAGATATCAAACGCAGTAAATATTTCTCTGATAACAGTATCAGAGATAAATTCAGTAACAATAATCAACGCCTCCTCTATTTAGATGCCGGCCAAGTGAGAACAAAAACAGCTGCCACACCCTTCCCTCCTTCATTTTCGATTACTGTCGGTCTTTAGCGTCACCTGTGGTGGACGGTGAAACAACTCGACATTTTGTATAGCCTCCGAATTAGTCATGTATAGTTGCAGATCTCAAATGAATCTCGAGTGACGCGCCCTTAGGAGCCACAAGTAACAAACGCCGTGATAATAGTGTCGGTCGCAAGCGCCACTGCGCGGCGCTTGCTCAAAAATTAAAGCAACATGACTCCGCTGGTAACACGAGCCATTTGTCAGGCACCTTAATAAAGAAGGCGTTGCAATAATTAACATTCACCATGCTTCCTTTAACGGCGGTCGCTGTTTATTTAAACTGATGAACACTTACAGATGGGCAGCCAATGCCAGCAGTCATTTACTTTTTATTTCTCGACGTTACCTTGCAATAGCGAACGCAGTTAATGTTCATTCAAAGCTAGCCAATGTTCATTTACAGCCTTGAGTTGAACTCATAAATTCTCTTCGACAAATATTTACATTACACTTCTTTATTTGCCACAGATATCCCTTCTCATAATGGGGTCAACAGGTTCAGTTTTCTTTTTTCTTCAAGCACTTGTATCCTTCGAGCGGTGTCTCGAGTACACCCGCTTGCCACCAGAGGTGAGTCGAGTGAATACTTTTTGTGAAAAAAATTATTATTTTCCTTCTTTTCTACAGGATGTTAAGATATAATCGCTACAAAACTGCACATGTTACTTTTAACGCTGTTATAGGCTTATGGCTCAGCCCTATGCATCTTCTTTGCAGATGGCCTGTAGTGGTGGCTGCATCTTTGTCTGTTCTCTGAAGAAATGACTCATTTATTTTCATTCTACTTTATAGCTCACGGCACGTAAATTGCCAAAACATGTGTAGTAGAGTTTCCTAGTACAAAGAGAAGAGGTATGGCTATATTGAGTGTCAATTTTTAGCTTTAAAAAGGTTAAACGCCTTTCCATTTCTGGTATGCGCCACAAGTTGCTCTCGAGCTGTAATCTTAAAAAGCGGCCACTTTCCTTGTTAAGAGCACTCCTATCAGCTGGCGGTTGATTCGATATCTTGGCTAAATATTCGTGAACCTCTTTTTAACAAACCAGGGAGATGACCAGGAATCGCAGAACGCCACACGCATTGCTCGGAGAAACACCAAAAGCTGCACCAAGGCTATCTGCATTCGTCCACTTGATGAAAGAGCGTGGCCTTCAGAAGGAAAGCTCGAATTCGACCACTATTCCGCGTCCTACAAGCCCGGAGTCTTGCCTGATGTCCTCATCGACGTGTACTTCGTAGCGAGTCCTCGTGAGAAGGTGGTTAACCTGAATGTAACGTTTTCATGTTCAATGCTTGGCGCCCAGAAGATTAGTGGGTACATAGAATCAGTCAGTTTGCTATAAAATAATACGAGTAGCATTAGGACTGGCAAAAACATATTTATTTATGTTGATTTAGCCATAGCCTGACATTTTAATTATTTGGGCACCACATACTGTTATAAGAGGGAAGCTCCTTAAGGCCTAGGGTAATACATACCTGCGGCGTATCGAGAACAGCATATGAACAGACAGACAGACAGACAGACAGACAGACAGACAGACAGACAGACAGACAGACAGACAGACAGACAGACAGGCAGGCAGGCAGGCAGGCAGGCAGGCAGGCAGGCAGGCAGGCAGGCGGGTGGGCAGGCAGGCAGGCAGGCAGGCAGGCGGGCAAACGAGCAAGTGGGCGGGCGGGCGGGCGGGCGGGCGGGCGGGCGGGCAGGCAGGCGGGCAGGTGGATGAACGGAAGGACGGATGGAGGAATGGACGCTCACCCCACTCATCATCACTCCTTTCATGAATATGTTGTGATTTTATTACTGGCGACTGTTGCGAGTACGTGCTTCCTGCACAAAGTAATTGTGGTTTTGCAGGAAGCGCTAATACGCTTAGGTGTTTCCAATTTTTGTAATGATTACTTATTTTTAAACTTTTATGAGACGTCTCATCTTACGATGCAGGTGAAAGGGGCGAGTGAAGATGACCACAGCAGACATGTTTGCCGTTCAAGCCACCAATTGTAAATAATCTTACTGCGGAAGATTCCTTGTTACAAATATTATTATTGCATATAAGACGTAGGAACAACCTCTAAATAAAATACTACCTTGCGGTACTCCAGAGTGCCATAGAAAAAGTGGAATTTTTACGATATTGAAAAACCAGTGGTTAGTGAAAAGTTACAGAGCCATGTTAGACCTAGTTATTTGTATGTTTGCGCAAACAATGTAGAGGACACTTACAGTTCGCTTTTGTTTCCCTCGTGTGGTGCAATAGTTATGCTCACCTAAATCACAGCGTTAGAAAATCAAAGCGGACAAAAATGAGTGGCACAACACTAGGTCTCACTCTCAGCTATTTGAGTGGACGCTCAATAAAGTGATTTGCTTAAAAAATACTGCACTTGTCAGAAGTAATATTGTAAATTCCATACGTGTTTGTCTCTAATGTTTAACAATTCACCGTCATGTAGCAAAGTATGTTAGTTTTAGATCATCATTTTTAGATATACTACACGCTTCCAAAATTTCTCTTGTGGTTTGAAGAGGATGCCGGCACAGAGCAGTTCCATTTTTTAACAGTGGCCGGTTGCAAGTCGATTAAAGACAGGGCGCTACAGGACATGACAATGCTGTACTTGAAGTTCTGCTCTACGAACCATTTCAAGACATTGCGTTGTCTGGCAGATGTACTACAGGCGCCCAATGAAACGCTAACAGCGGCAAGTCTTCACGATGGTATAGTGCGCGCCGTCCAGTTATCTCGTTTGACCGGCGCTCACACCATGTTCGGGACTCTGCGCATATATATGCGGGCCTGTCCGTGGTGATAAGTGGACAACGCGCACTACACCATCACGAATGCTTGCAGCTGTTCGGTTTTTCTTTGATGCACACGGTACTCTGACATGCCAGCGGTAGTTATGAGGTCAAGCGCATTACAGTGAAATATTTCTATGGCACCGTTGTCGTACGCAAGAAAATGGCAGTGGCTGGGTTCATAAATACACCTGTAGGTGCATCGGTACCAAACGTATCTGTGCGCGCCGTTTTCTAGTTATTGACGATGTCGAGGGTGTATGCTTGATCGTTTTCGATCGCCGATGCGCCCATGGTTTCGATATTTCATCACTGAAAAGTTCGACAGCCGATCGACAGACAACCCACTAAACCTTATCCGTCACATTGCCTGAAAGGTTCAGGTGTGGCCTATGTATGGGTAATACGTAGAACCTTATGGGAATGTGATTCTGTCAATGTGACTGTTATTCTGTCCTCCGACGTCCCTCGGAGAAGCATAGTTTTAGCCGATTGAAACGTGGCACATATAATTTTTTTGTGCAAAGAGTGGTAAAAGCTCTGTTGGTATAAGAGGGTGTTGATTGGTTCGCCAAAAATTCATTCGAATTTAATTGAAAACAAAATAACATGTATGTTTATTGAGTCCTATTTCATTATAAGGTTGTGACGGAATGGAAACTTTTTCTGAGTATTCGTTTCTTGTCCGTTTCACCACTTCACGGGATTCCGCACAACTGATCTTTAACATTACGTGTTCACGTGCTTTGAATTGTCGATGAACTCTCCCTCACGCTGCTATTTGCTAGCTCGCTGATAAGCTTACTTGCAAGAGCGACTGCTTCGGAAAGGCGTTAATCTCAAGTTAAATCTCTAGAGAAGTACGCACTTTTCGGCGAATTTCTTTCTGAGAGATGTGTATCAGCTTACCAGAAGTTTCTGGCTGGAAATGGATGATTGCCAATTTATTTTTCTTGAACCACCCGCTGCCTTGAGGAATCGCACAGAACTAACTTGCAAAATAACACTTTAACGCTTTTCCATCTTTCGCTGAACTTGCAGGTGGGCATTGTCGGTCGCACAGGTGCTGGTAAATCTTCGCTCTTGATGGCGGTGCTCAGAGTCTTGAAGGCGTCTACTGGATGCATCCGCATAGATGACGTCGACATAGCATCAGTGTCTTTGCGTCGGCTACGGTCAGCTGTCACTGTCATCCCACAGGCAAGCGAAAAATCTACACAATGCAATTCTGCCATAAAAATGTAACTAGGCACATTAAACATCAAGAAATAAGGATGTGCTAGTATAAACAATACTAAGGTAGAATATCTTATAGCCCAACGGGTATTTGAAATAAAGCTTCTCAAGATATTATTTACTAGTCCTCATGAGTGACGCTGTGCTTTTGCAACGTGAAGGCAAGAGCATTATCAAGGCTTAAAAAATCTGCTAACATTCAGCCACTTGTGTTGTTGGCGACGTAATATGAAACAGTTGTATTGTCGTATCGGCTCCAATGGTTTAGAGAAACGCCACACAGCAGCTGGTTTATATTTCGACCAATTTAGATCCCATTCACAGTCCTTCTAAGCTAGCGTTAGAAGTGCATAGGTCAAATGTTTGGTTAGAACGCGGTTACTGAACGTTTCCTGCTCTAAAATTGTTACTCGGAACACTAGAGATGTCTTTGGTCTCTCAGGCCTCCTTGTTGAGCCACCGCGGCGTTAGAGTGGTTGCAGTGCTCAGCTGTTTACCCGAAGGACGTAAGTTTGACCCAGCTGTGGCGTTCGTATTCAAATGGAGGCGAAATGTTGAGACCCTGGACTGTGCGATATCAGTGCACGTTAAGAACACTGGGCGTTCGAAATTTTCGGAGCTCTTTACTATGGCGCATCTCATATTTATATCAAGGCTTTGGGGCGTAGAACCCCACATGTTTTTACTATTTTTATTTCCCTTAACCTCAAGCAAATTAGAGCGAGACCTGAAATTAACCGGTACTCTTTATGGACCCACACCATGCGCCACGTAGCTGCAAATGCTTCGCGTGCTTGATTCATCATGCAACATGTGTGTTTAACCTAAAGCACTTAGGAGTTTTTGTTCATTTGCATTTATATTGAAAAAGAAGTTGTTCTTGATAGCCAGCAAATGTCTGATATACTGGTAATTTTCGCTTATTGACGTATGCTTTCGTGCATGAACCAGGATCCTTGCTTGACACGAGGTGCACTACGGGATGTTTTGGACCCGACCGGCAGCTACTCAGACAGCGACGTATGGTGCGCTCTGGCGCAAGCACATCTGACCGAATTCGTGGCACGCCACTCTCATAACATACGGATGGACGTGGGTGACAGTGGAAGTAACCTCAGGTAACCTCAGCCACTTCACTTTGTGGGTTTTCGCAGAACCGATTTGCAATATTTTGTGCGCATTTTCTTCGGGCTGCCTGAATCAGCCTCGCACTGCTACTATCCTGCTTGGAACAATTGGTTGATTGGGCGTCCCTAAAACGCATTGGTCGTTGGCACGGTCCACAAACAAAGACGAATTCGAACAGCGACTGTTTTGTACCACTGTGCACCTACAAGATAACTATCATCATCATAAACGGCTATGATGTGCCACAGATATGAGGCATGTCCTACAGCTCACTACTGGTCCGAAAATAATGAAAGTATAAGTCAGGCCAACAAAAGGCAGTGAGCAGAAGACTGAGTAAGTAAGTACAATCATAGAGAACTAAGGAAGGCAACGGCAGCTGCGAAAAGACCACGCAGTGATGAATGAGCTTCGTGCCCGACGGGGTCGCGCCTATGACTGTGTTGTTTAACTCAACCCTCTATGCATTGCCCCCGCCGCGCGTGGTCTAGTGGCTAAGGTGCTCGGCTGCTAACTCCCTGGTCGCGGGATCAAATCCAGGCTGCGGCTGCTGCATTTTCGTTGAAGGCGAAACTGCTGTAGGCCCGTGTGCTCAGATTTGGGTGGACGTCAAAGAACTCCAGGTGGTCAAAATTTCCGGAGCCCCCCACTACGGCGTCTCTCATAGTAATATGGTGGTTTTGGGACGTTAAACTTCACATATAAAAACCCTCTCTACGTTGAGAATCAGGGTTTGAATAACCTAGCAACCCTTAGCCAAAGCCTAGAAGCGACCACGGAACAACCTGCATCAATTATAGCTAAGACATAGAAGCAATCTTGACGCAGCCAAATTAGTCTTCACAATCGTGCGGTTTCGCTTTCTCAAGACGTGTGCCTTGGTGAAAGCTTCATCAAGCCTTTTTTCCCTCACGATCTTCATTTCAAAGAGTCCGTATTTCCTGTGCAGCTCCATACTGCGAGCGGGTCATCAAAATTATCTCTTTCGTAACCATTAGGCCACCTTGCGGATTTCCATGGTGCTCACTTGCAACCGCAGTAAAACCACTGAAGATAATGTTTGTTTATAGCGTTTCTTTATTTAGGTAGCAATTATAGTCGTACACTCGGTATATTTCAGCCATCACCGTCAGGTTTCGTATGAAGTCGAAATTGCATTGTAAATGCACACATGCATTGTATATTCTACACGCTTCTGAAAGTGTGCGAACTTGGAACTAACGCTGCTGCATAAGTGATGGAACAAGCCGGCCATCTCTGTCGCACGAAAAGCGCATACTTGTCGCCTTGCGTGTGAGGCCTGCCATCGATGGCTCTGCGCCCGCTTTTGGTGGGAGTTTCCCCAGCGACACTTTCGCTTCGGCTGCGACGCCTGTGACCGACTGTAGCTTGAGAACAACCACTGTAATTAACGAGATGCGAAGTGTATACAGACGCTCATTACATTCTTCAAAGACCGTGTTTATATGAAGCATGTGAAATAAACACGGTGGCAAACTCAAGCCAAATATCTAACATTATTAAGAGGCTCGAACATGTATCCTACAATTATGAAAGGCTTTAGTGCAGCGTCGGGTTGAACCCACTGCATCGAATTGAACCCATAGGGGCCGCACGTTTTCGATTTTGTTGGTTAAACATTTGTATGGAGTGCTTGATTGATTGATATGTGGTGTTTAACGTCCCAAAACCACCATATGATCATGCGAGACGCTGTAGTGGAGGGTTCCGGAGATTTAGACCGCCTGGGGTTCTTTAACGTGCACCCAAATCTTAGCTCACGGGCCTACAACATTTCCGCCTCCATCGGAAATGCAGCCGCCACATCTGGGATTCGAACCTGCGACCTGCGGGTTAGCAGCCGAGTACCTTAGCCACTAGACCACCGCGGCGGGGCTTTGTATGGAGTGCTTGCGCGGTGATTTCTTATTTCGAATATAATGCGAAGCATTTCTTAGTGAACTTCGGCAACTTTGACCGTATCTATCTATCTAGCCATCTAAGCTCTCCTGGCCATTTCAATAATCGGATCTATGCGAAAACTTGTGTGGCATAACATGACCGTATGACAAGCACAACTGACTGAAAATCATGACACGCATGTCATGAATATTAGGATTTACATGTCATGCTCTTCCTACTGTCACACAGGTCCTGTTAATTCGGGACCCGATCGCCGGGCTAATTCCAAGGGCCGAAATATCGCCCCCCCGAACCGCACCACGAAAGCGTGGACAATTTAGAAGTGGTCCTTTTTGGCGCGCCAGCGGACGCCGGCTGTGGCCCAAAGAACAAGTCAGAGCCGAGAGATGATAACAAATGAAATTATATTCTCAATAATGGCAGATCGAAAACAATACTCAAGCATGCACACTCCACAATAGTTGAGTACAATATGTCACCAATCAAACAACGTACTACCCAGTACAATCAGCCACACACGAAACAACGGACACAGACAACAATACACACTACAATGCAGTCGCATGCATTGAACAACCAAGGTACTTAAAGACTAAACAGATAGAAAACCTATTCAGTCCAAAGTTCTTGGAACAAAAGTCTGGATGATACTCTTCCGAGAATCACACACTCAAAGTCCAGCGTTGTCGTCGTTCCGCTGCCCCCGAAGTTTCTCTTTCAGGAAACCTCGCGTCTTCAATTGGCCACTCTCCAAGCTTCAAACTTCTTCGCCGGAAACACGCCGGCTTCACACACGCAGCTGTTGCCACGCGTCTTCGCTCGATAGCGGTAAACACACACTCTTGCCTGTAGCTCGAGTCGTCACCCCTCAGGTGGAAATCCTCTTCATCTCCTGCTTTGACTCTACGGACAAAACCTTCGCCGACTGCACGGCGGTATACCCTACGCGCTCTGGCGCTAACTTCCGTCTTCTCCTCCGAAGTTTCTTTTCCAGGAAACCTCGCGTCTTCTCCTGCTTTGTCCCTACGGACAAAACCTTCGCCGACTACACGACGGGATACCCTACGCGCTCTGGCGCTAACTTCCGTCTTCTCCTGATCCCTCGTCTCGGCTGCTCGATTAAATACCTTCCGCGCGAGCTTCCAGAAAGTTCTCGTCATTTCGTCGGCGTGATACGCAGCGAAAGCTGGAGAGGGGGCGAGACGGCTCGAAGGCTGTCCGCGATGGATGACTCAACTCGGCCTCACCACGCCCCTTTCCATCTAGAAAGTTCGAGTGCTTGCTCGGCCGCCGTTGTGGGGTGAGGAGGTTCGTCGGCGAATCTACGCTTCCGAGGGAGAGAGCCGAGCCCGGGGAGTCTGCATGTTTGTTTTCTTTCTCTTTTTTTTATCGTTGACCTCGCGGCGTCACTCCGGCGTTTTTTCGCGAGGAGTGGGCGGCGCGCTCTTTTTGAGCGCTCGTTCTGTGACACCTACTCTTTCTGTGGTTTCGTTTCCATCACATATTGCAAAACTGGTATGGTATGACATGACTGCATGGTGGCCATAAGTGACAGGCCCTAGCGGGGAAACCATAACATGCATGTCATGTAAGTAATGACTACACGCCACGCTCGTGGTGCACTCGCGACCGTTTCGCTAGCTTCACATACATCAAATTTGAGTTTACGCGACTTGAATTGATAACAAAGGCATATGACTGGTAAAAACATGATAAACATGACATGCGTGTCATGCAAGAACAGGACTACATACCACGCCCATGACTCCCTTGCGGCCATTTTCCTGGCTTCACGTATACCAAATTTGGTATTACGTGACGAGAATGGACGAAGGTAAGTGACACGTTCAAACATAATAATTATGGTATGCGCGTCATGTAAAATATGAATACATGCTACGCGCACCGGCACACTCGCAACCGTTTCGCCAGCTTCACGAACACCATATTTAATATTACGTGATGCGAATGAACGACGAAGGTATATGACGCATCCAAACATAATACTCATGATATGCGCATCGGGTAAAACATTGCTACGTGCTATCCATGTAGTAACCGATCTGTATATTTTTTGACCCTCTCCTCTAAGAGCCTGTTAAGCATTGCAAAATAAAGAAGTAAATAAATAAATAATACCAAATTTAGTACCATGGCACTTGAATTAACGGCGAACAAAAACTTCAGGCACAAACATGATAATCATGACATAGAAGTCATGTACGGCAAAGTTTACGCCCGCCTCATAATGTTGTAATAATTTAGAGTCAAATGTCAACCTTCCTCAATCGTGCTTCGCACACTACGGATTCCCGCTGTACGTGGAACCTGCCAATTTTTTGCCGTTTCAAGCTGTACGTGCTGGAAGTGATTACTACTTAAATCAACAATAACTTGAGTGGCAAAAAAAAAACACCTTAGCTATCAGTGGGTATCGAACCAACCTACAGCCTTGTATTGAAGAATCCAGAATACTAAGAATTGGTCTGTAATGGCTGTGTTCATGAGGATTCTCCCGTCTACTTTTTTGGATATATCTATGCAAGTTGCCCGGCAATTGTTAGCCAGTCTCATGTTGTGTCGAAAAGCTGAGTGTGAGACACATGGCGTAATCGACTAGTCACGATACTTATCACTATATTGAAGCTCTAACCTGTACAGTTAGGACACAGTATGTTTTATTTTTAACTGCGAAGAAAAAGAAATGTACAAATTTACATTCCGCTCGCTGCACATATTCATGCTATGGGTATTACTTCGCGGGTAGCTGATTGCACAGCGTTGTTTGGGATTACATAAAGATATTGTGGCGTCTGAGCGTAATACGAACTCAATAAGGCAATCGATCATGTGGAGCAATGATCCCTTATTGGCCGAAGCGAAGCAGTAGAGGAGATGAGTATTACAACAATCCTGTGTCACCGACGTCACTTTCTTCTCCCTAGTCAAATTATGCTAATTGACACTTGAATATATTTTCAGTGCCGGCCAGCGACAGCTCGTGTGCCTAGCCAGGGCTCTGCTACGGCGGCCACGTATAATTCTAATGGACGAGGCCACATCACATATGGATGGCAACACTGACAGGATCGTGCAGACTACGCTACGAGAGAGCTTCGCCTACTGCACCGTACTCACAATAGCACACAGACTGGAGACGGTGCTAGACTACGATAAGTGAGTTGACTTCTTTGGTATATGTGTGTGTGCGGCAGCATGTCTGTTTCATGCGGCGCGATTCCGCCGAATATTTGTGTGCTCTTATGTGACACATATGCTACAAAAGACGCGACTGTTAGATAAGGTCCACCCGCCTGTAATATACAGCATACAGAAGCTTCTCTTAACGTCCTCTCTCGCCCATGACTGTCAGAAAAAAGGGGATGAGCGCATGGGCATACTACACTATATACATATATTAAGAAGGAGGTGGAACGTGGACATATAAACTCATGCACGAACGCATCTTAAGCATCATGCCAAACTACCCTTTAGATAATAAGACAGCTTTGCAATAAAGAGGTCAGACTCTGGAGCTTTGCAGACATCTATCGCCACCTGTTGGTGCAGTATTAGGTAATACGAACTGCCGACTCTCTTGCAGTTTGCTCTACAACCAGGTGCAACTGGTGAGGGCCAAACAACGATAGCCCTAAAGCTTGTGTGTTTGCACATGTATCATTAAAAACAAAGCTACGAATTTCTTTCCACTAGTAGGACGCGCCAATGAATCGCCACGAAATGCTTTATGGATTGCTCGCCAGAACTATGGCAAAAATATGTGTGGGTGCTATGAGAAAACACTGCAATCGACTTTACTGTAGGCGTTGTGAATTAGTACGGAAGTGAATGAGTGAAAACTATAACGCTCAACTTTACTGATTTCCGTCGCACGAAACAGAACGGCGAGAGCGCTGGATACGGGCCGTTGCGAACGTTTTGGGTAAGCGGATTACTCGTGTTTTGCACAAGTGGTCGCTGAAGAAAGTGTGAGAATTTCGACGTCCTACTATTATTTTTAATAGCCTTCATGGAGAAACTTGAACCTCAGCAGAGCCTCTGACTGCGATGGACGCTGTGGAACAGTTGAATTGCAAAATGTCGGAGTGCGCAATAAACTTAGCGCACGCTCCAACCTTTCTTGATCTGAACTGGTCATCACCACACAGGCAGCATCGCACACGAACGTTTTGGAGGCTCAAAGTTTTGAGTTTAACTAGCAAATGCTAACACGTGCGTCATACAGAAAAATCTAAAAATGTTAGTCGCAAGAGCCATCCGTCAATAGCCATCCGTCAAGAAGCTCCGCTTCAGTTAGGCCCAGGAGGTCGTCATCAGAGACAACACTTCGAACGGTATTCATAGACCTATGTGAACTGACTGCGAGAGGGATATTTCCAATAGATATCAGATTCGGGAGGGCTTCATAATGCTTACTGTCTCACAGTTGAAGCAGAAGATCGCCGCTAGCCATCTTGCAGGCCTTATAGCCAGGTCCTAGTTTTTCTGTTAGGTTTCCTGTTACTAAAAATGAAGAGATAGCTCTGGTTTTTCCACCACACGCTTCACTATGTATCACATGGTACTTTGGAAAGTGTTCGTTGGCCTTTGAAAAGGATGTGGTCATTGCTTCCGTGCGCGACCTTTTCAGGTTACGATCAGCTATCGAAGAGGGTGCGCTTAACATAACATGCCGTTTAAGTTCGGCAGCGGTGCCTGCCACCCAACACCGAGGCCAACAAGGGGACGTGGTAAGTGATGCTGGTCAAATTCTGTCAACGCCAGCTGTATAGCGCTGCTATAACCCATTATAATGTGGCCACGACTGGGCATCCACACAAGGTTAGCCCTTGCCACCATGAAAGATCGAAAGTAAACAGAAGAGAGCAGATGACAGGACAGATAAAAAGTGAGAGATAAAGATCAAGATGTAGCGAGAGAGAGATAGGAAAAGGCGACTGCCGATTTCCCCTGGGTGGGTCATCCCAGGGGTGTCATCTACGTGAAGCCGGTGCCAAAGGGGCTGCTGCCTTTGCCGGGGGGCCTTGAAGGTTCAAGCACCCGAGCATCAGCTCAACCCCCAGGATCACCTTTCACCCGCACATGGCTCCGCCACGCACGGCTAGGCGTGGGAGGGATCGAAATCTCCCCGTTAGTTCAGGTTCGTGGTGTCGTGACACACCAAAGGCCTCCTTGCACAGACTGACCCTGCGGGGGTTTTGCCGCCATCATCAGCGTCGATGACCGCCGTCATTCACCGTATGTGCATACGCATCTATATATATGAATACGCAAGAAAGATAATTCAGAAAAATATGGCTCCGCACGCGGAAGCGAACGCCCGACCACCAGCTTGCGAGTTCGTGGCGTTAGCCACTGGGCCACGAAGGAACATCTTCAACGTTGAAACGGCAAGCTATTTATACCTATTGCTTAGCGCTGGCTGATGCCCATCTCGGGGGAACCATGACCTCCGAGATGGCGGGTGAACAGCGGGTTTCTTTCCGACCGTCCCAATCGCACGGAGAGAGCGTGTTTGCAGAGGTGGGTGTGGCCTGCTGTTTTCTCCGCACCGCGGCACTTTTTCATACAGTCAAAAAGGCTTCCGCGCTGTTGGCGAAGCTTGCCACGTGGCAAGAAAAAATGATTTTGGGCTTTTTTATAGGTTCACGCTCATTTGGGAATGTCGGGCCATTGGCTTTTATGGGCTTTTTTTGCTGCATAATTGCGCCACCCCTATAAGAACACTTATAATTATGATGCCTCGGGAAAGATGTGCATGTGCTTGAAACTTGCGGTACTTCAAAGTTTGCAGGCTGTATAGTATGGAGGGCATGGCGTAGAAAAAAATGAGAGCCCGATGAAGAAGCGAAGTTAGAAAAGTGTCGTTTTCTACGCTAACGGGTTACACTCGACAGAAAGGTTGATTTTTTTTTCTTTCATGAAACTATCGCTACTTTTCATTGCGACGCCCTCTCAAGAAGCCTTCCGTCTAGCCGCAGAAGCAGAATGCAGAAGCAAGGGTGCAGGAGCTATGCGTCTTGACTATGTCTAGATTGAACGTCGGCGGTTCTGCGGCGACTACGCGTTGGTTACAGGTACCTTTTGGTCACTTATGATCGCTCAATCGCACTGTGAATTTTACGGCGTTCAGTGGATACTGTGATGTTATGTTTGGGTTAAGGGTTCGCCCCAGAAAAAACGACGCTGCACGCAGGTGAATAAGCACGCGTAGAACTTATTTACGCACGCGAACGACCTTAAAGAGAAGACTAACACAGTTGAAGCCCATATCCCATCCGCTAGACGCGGTGTCAAAACATGCTCGTATCTTGCTCGTAGCATGGCAGTACGAGCAAAACATGCTCGCGCTGCCGCGCTTTCTCGAGCCACACGCGCACCAAATCGCCGTCCTCTTCACCAGCGCAAGGCACATACATGATTCGCCCCCGCATGGCGCACAGACGCACACACTGTTATCACGGAGTCTCTACCACACGGCGCACTGTGTCGCTCTTGCATATCCGAACCCACGCAACCACATATCATTACATATACGTTGGGAAATCTAAGAACGAACATCGAAATGTTTCGGTTGTTCGAGACGTAAACAACACGCGTTGATGTCATGTACCTGGTATAAAAGACTGCGGTGTCACATTGCAGCAAAAATTTGCACTTTTTAGGGGCGAAGCTCCTTCCTGGCGTGGGTCTGTCACTCCTCCGAATGTATGTATGTATGTATGTATGTATGTATGTATGTATGTATGTATGTATGTATGTATGTATGTATGTATGTATTGTATGTATGTATGTATGTATGTATGTATGTATGTATGTATGTATGTATGTATGTATGTATGTATGTATGTATGTATGTATGTATGTATGTATGTATGTATGTATGTATGTATGTATGTATGTATGTATGTATGTATGTATGTATGTATGTATGTATGTATGTATGTATGTATGTATGTATGTATGTAGCCACCGGTCGCACATACCCGCTCTAGGGGTTGCGAGATGGGAGATGGTGGTACTTGGAATGTTCACTAGAAGGATGCAAGGACGGATGGACAGACAGACTAGCAGGCGGACGGACGAATGGATGGACGCGCAGACGTACGAACGGACGGACGCATGAACGGACGGACAGATGGATGGACGGAGTCACGGATGGACGCATGGATTGACGCACGGATGATCGCGTGGACAGACGGAAGCAAGAACGAATGGACGGACGGAAGCACGGGTGGGCTGACGTACGCTTCACCTCACTCATCATCATTCACTCCATAGATATGCTGCATTTTTTTTTACTTTAGCAGTCTATCTCGGCGAATACTTAGTTCTCAGTACAAAGTTGCCGTTATGCTACATGTGCGACCCTTTGATTTGGATGCAGTCGAGAGAACAATAAATGAGCATGACACTGATATTACCATTGTCATGTAGGAGTTATTAAACGTGGGGAGTGAATGTAGGGAGTGAATTTAAATTATGAGTCAGAATAGTAAAGGAATATGATTCTACAACGATAGTTAGCTCAGCTTTGCCCCATACAGGTCTCGAGAAAGAAGGATTGCTAGAATGCCCCTATAATTCTCAATCAAGGTAAAATGTACTGTCATGCAATAAGTAGTAATACTGCCACCGACAAATTCATACCTTCTTACAATTACCTATCAGAAAAATAAAGCAGTTTGCCAGTTTCCATGCCTTTTTTCGTAATTTCAACCGAAATAGGCGAAGTAACAGAAAAAAAATTGGTTCCAAATCTGCGTGTTACACCGCAAACATAGTCGAAACACGATAGGTTTGCGTCTGGAGAGAGTGAACAAAACGTTTATTTGGTGTTCTGCGCAAGAAAATTGGTGAAGGGTAATCCAGAGGCGCTGCGCTAAAGTGCCTCGAGCGTGTAGCGGAAGCGAACGAGCGCATCGAGGCACGTTAGACACAAGCGCTGTCTGGCCGTTTTCTTCGAAAACGAAGGCGTGCAGCCCGTGGAGAAAGATGCGTGACAGTCCCAAGGTGATAAGGTGTAGAACGCAAAGCGACGGGTAGGTGCCGCCACCGTGACGTCATAGCAAAGTCATGGAAACACCTTTTTGAGCATCGCGTTGCACTGTCAGCGTAGCGTGATAAACGTTACATTCCTTAGAGTTACTTGTGTG